CCCAGCCACATACAGACTCAAAAACAAAGGCTTCAAATAAAGTGGTCATAGTACTTGAAGTAAATAAAGCGGATATCTATAGCGACAGCATGCTGAAGAGTATATATATCTCATGATTAACTGGTCAAATTTTTTTTTTATATTTACAGTAAACGATTTACTGGTAATTTAACCCCTTAAGGACCAAACTTCTGGAATAAAAGGGAATCTTGACATGTCACGTGTCCTTAAGGGTTTACAGAGTTGTTCGCTATTAAGTTGAACTCCTCATATGAGGTTCATGATTTCCAGTTTACTCAAATAAATAATATTTTAGAGAGGAAAAAAGTCAGCTAGTGAAAATGTTGCAGACAACAAAAATAAACAGAAAACCACAACCCCCCAAGCCCTAGTCAGCTCGTAGGTTATGGTAACAATGAGCACTAACAGCGACCTAGAACGCCAGTACGAGAACGCTATTTCGTCAGATTCTATTCCTACACTGTTTGCCGTTCTGTATGCAATAAAGTTGTTGAATCTTGCCTTTTCAAAGATGGCGGCCTCCATTGCGCCCTTGGTTACTGTACGGTGTTTATGGAAGATTTACCGGTGTTCCCGGTATATCCGATACGGTTCCCGGTGGGGTTTCCTAGGGCAACACAAAATACCTTGCTTGTGGAGTCCGAGGGCAGGTTAGTGTTAATGGGGGGAGGATTTGGCCAGGAAAGTGAATGAAAGGACTCTGTGAGTGTAGACTAAATGAAAGGCTAGCTGGAGCTGCTAATAGCTGGACCTTCACACAGTCTGAGCAAAAGTCTGCTGTCAATCTGACGTTATAAGAGATTCGGAAAGATTAAAATACTTTTTAAAATGTCCTGTGACTTTATGCTGTTAAGTGGTTACGTTTGAGTAACATTAAAACCGAGCATTATTTGCTGTTATGCTGTTATAAAAAAAAAAAAAAAATCACATCGAATTTCTACTAATGAATGCAGTGCAGCTGTAAACTAACATGTTATCATTTTTTAAACCCTATACTAGAAAATAACAGTGAAACACTACACACCCACAAAATAATAAAAATAAACTCACAAACATATGGGATGATTGTACCTCAAAGCCCTGCCGTATAGTGTAATAAAAGTCAAGGCAGTAATACATCATAATACATCAACAGTGAAGCACTGCACACCCACAAAAAAACAATACACAAACATATGGGACCATTGTATCTCAAAGACTTGTCCTATGTAGTGTAATAAAAGTCAAGGCAATAATAATAATACATTATTTTAATACAGTTGGTTTAGAAAGTGCAAGTATATAGAGAACTAATTAACACTAAGCTCCTCTTTTGTTCTGATCACATAATTTTTTTTTTCGATTTTCCAGTATTTTCATGTATTGTTAATTTTAAGACTTGGGTAGTATTTTTCCATTTTTTAAATTTTTTTTTAAACAATCTTCATTTTCAGTTTTATCAGATACATAAAGGTAGGGAAAGGGGATATTATCGATAATGCTAGTCTGACATGCATTAAAGATCAAAATAGAGCAATTCTTCTAATTAAAATATTTGCCAAACAGTAGTGTTGAAACACTCCAGCTGTTTTCTAGTTGTTGGTTTTTTTTTTTTAAATTCAGTCGTTATTTCTCTTTTACTCCAGGATATAGGGAATCAGTGGGCATAATGTATTACAATATGTATTACAATACTAATTAAAGTAACCAATAGTCAAACAAAAACCAAATTAAATGGACACCAACACAACTTTAATGAGTTTGATAGATTTTTTTTTTTCATTAATATGCTGTATTTTTTTGCATGCTCAAATCTATTTTTGCACAAAATAATAAATGTTTTGCAGATGCTACACCATAAGTCTGCCTACCTAGCAACACCCCCTCATGCCAGAAAGCCTTCCTTATCAAAAGTATTCATACAGTGTAAGCCCTGATAGCAAAGTAAGCTGCTTTTCACAACCTGGCGTCAGACAAACTTTAAACTGGTAGTGATATTCTTACTATATTCCTCCCTGGGTGTCCTCTCCTTCTAATGCTGGTTGTTTTGTAGTTGTAATCATTCAGTACTATCAGTGACTGAGCCGTGTGCATACTTTTTGATAAGGAAGTCTTTTTCTGAAGTTAGGCTAATGATGCAGCATTTTACAAAACATTTATTTATTTTATGCAAAAACTATAAAGATTTCAGTATGTAAAAAAATACAGCATTTTATTGATGCAGAGGCCAAATGCATTGAAGTAGTATTGGTGCCCGTTAAGCAATATTCTTTTGCTGGCAAGATTCAAAAGATCTCCATATCTGACATAACATTTCTTTCAAATAGAAAATTGAAGCCATGTAACAAACAGAATAATAAAAGCGATTGTTTCTGTCACTGGTAGAATTTGTTGTTTTGTTCATAGTCTATTACAGTTATGTGTTCTTTATTTTCTTTAGAGCTGCATACTATCTATTAAAAAGTCTCTTAAGAAGTCTGTTAGTAGAATATTGTTCAATGCTATCCAAATGTACTGTTTTTCAGCGTCCATTAGCCAATTAGCAGAGACTGTAGATCCCAATGGAGAAGTAAACGTACACTCCCGAGCTTTAGAAGAATGTTCAGGACCTTTGCAGCATTATGATTTTCTTGTAAAGGAAGCAGTGCTAAGGAAGGATGAACACCAACGAAGAGTAATGCAGCATTTGGAAAATCTCCACGAAGCTCTCAAAGGATACAGGAAAGATGGAAAAGGAGTACTGTCAAAGGTTAGATTTGTCACTAATGTTTTGCGGTTGTGCAGTCTTTGTTTTTGTTAAATATTTTATTTTGTTTGGCATTTGATAAAAAAATTGATAGTTTACTAATCGCCGTTTTTACACCAAAATTCTAGTTGAAAGGACACTACAGGCACCCAGACCAATTCATCTCATTGAAGTTGTCTTGGTGCAGTTTTACTGTTCCCATAATTCTGCAATGTTAAGATAACCTATAGTGGCTGTCTTTAAGCAATTAGAGGCACTTTCTGAATTCTGACAGAGTTTAACTCCACGAAAAAACATTGGACGTCCTCATGCTTTGCATGAGGATATCCAACGTCTTCAAAATCCCGATCGGAAAGCATTGATTCAGTTTATTCAAGCACTGGCTTTCCTATTAGGAAGCTCTAATACTCACATGGTGCTCGCCATGAATGTGCACTAGGTTCCACCATCGGTGTGGTGTCACGAAGGAGGAGACCAGCCTTGTGCCGAAGAACCTCAGGGCTGGAAACATGCCAGTGGGGAAAAAAGGTTTTTAACCCCTAAATTGCCAGGCGGAGGTGGGGGGACCTATAGGAAAAGACAGAAGGACACTATGGTGTTGGGAATAAATTTTTGTATTCCTAATGTTATCGTTTTCCTTTAAAGTTGCAGTAATAGCTGTCATACACCGTATATCTTGCAAGGTGAATATCTATATTGTAAGCTTTTTTTTCCATTTTATTATTAATTCACTTTATCATTCATTTTCTGGTAAAATCTCTCCAACCATTTTCTTGAATTATGGGTACAAAGTGCAATAATAAAAGGTATCACCATAAAAACCCTTAATGGAAACAGAACGTATAATTTTAGAAAGCAAAATATTATATAGAGTAATAAGGAGATTAAGGCAACAGAGATAAAAAGTTGTTGGACAAGAACAATTATATAATTTTTAAATGCAGAGGATAAAGTAAGTAAGGCAAAGTAGAGAAAATAATAAATAAAAGATAATGGGGCTAGAGTATGGGAAAGGAAAAGAAAAGGGGAGCACAAGTGTGGCAATTAATAAAGTGATGACCACATGAGCATGGGGTAAGCAGGCTAAGAAGATTATAGATCAGGAGGACACATCTAACCAGAGTGTGAGGAAAGATAGGGGAGTCCTGGTACATTAAATTTTGGAGAGGGCTTGTTGAGTGTAATGAAAGGCTAATAGAAGCTTAAGACATATATCAACCATTCACATAAAGTAACAATGCATGTCTGATAAGTATCAGTAGAAGACATAAACTTGTTTAATAAAGAAAAAATGCTCAGGCACTCACTGTTTTTACATTTCAAGCAGAGTTTAATGGAACATCCAAGTGCACAGCAACGATTCGACCTGACAAATTTTGACAAAGACCTGGGTACAGGTTGAAACGGTGCTGTGCATTTGGATGTTACATTAAACTCTGCTTGAAATGTAAGAACAGTGAATGCCTGAGCATTTTTTATTTATACTACATGCACATGGGGAGTGCTGACCATAGCTCAGTGAGCACCCTGTTTTTTTTTGGTTGAGTGCAGCCCTTATCCTCTTTTTTTTCTACTGTATCAACTTATTTAATGACTTGAGTAAACAATTCACATCAGGCAACTTATTTTTGTGAATATCATGCTTTAAATGGAGTTAATTCCTAACCCAAGTTGGCTGAATCAGTCTCTGAAAGTTGGAATTTTTATTTTATTTTATTTTTTAATTCAAAGCATAGGACTAAGACTTCAGACTTTGTTTGCATTATTTTTTTGTCCTAGTGGTAGCTTATCTATAAGAGAATTGTAATTGAAAGATTTACACATTTATGTTTGCGTTACAAACGTTTTTTTTTTTTTTTGTGTATGTGCCTGCTCAAGGTTGGGTAATGATCTGTTAACAACTATATGGATGAAAAACGATGATATTTCATTGGGCTCTCTCACACTCCTTTGATTTAATTTTATCCGTAAATTATATGAAACCTAAAGGGACACTGTAGGCACCCAGACCATTTCAGCTAATTAAAGTAATCTGGGTGCTGTGACCCTTTTGCACTTAGTGCTGCAATGTAGTACTAAGCCGCTCTAAGTCTCCCCTTTGCGGCTGTCTTAACAGAGGGCTTCCGGAATCCAAACAGACTTTTAGTCCGCTATCTGATGCTGGACATCCTCACGGACCTCCAGCGGCGGAGCCTGACCCATCGCCGAGTGACATTGGCGCTGGATTCAGGTAAGGGTAATAACCCTATAGTGTCAGGAAAACGGGTTTGTTTTCCTGGCACTATAGGATCCCTTAAAGGACCACTATAGTGCCAGGAAAACATACTCGTTTTCCTGGCACTATAGTGCCTTGAGGGTGCCCCCACCCTCAGGGTCCCCCTCCCGCCTGGCTCTGGTAGGGGGAAAGGGGTAAAAACGTACCTTTCTCCAGCGCTTGGCGGGGAGCTCTCCTCCTCCGATCCTCCTCTTCTCCTCCCATGCAGCTGAATGCGCACGCGCGGCAAGAGCTGCTCGCGCATTCAGCTGGTCACATAGGAAAGCATTATCAATGCTTTCCTATGGACGCTTGCGTGCTCTCACTGTGATTTTCACAGTGAGAAGCACGCAAGCGCCTCTAGCGGCTGTCAATGAGACAGCCACTAGCGGGAAACTGCTATGTTTATAAAAAAATGGGTTAACCCTAGAAGGACCAGGCACCCAGACCACTTCATTAAGCTGAAGTGGTCTGGGTGTCTAGAGTGGTCCTTTAAAGGACGGAGGTAATTGTCCAAGTTCTGACCAAAACAAAACCTAGAATTTGAGCTATATTATTATTATATTTATATAGCGCCAACAAATTTCGTAGCGCTTTACAATGGGTATTTCTGTTAACTATAATTTACCTTTTTAATCCTAAGTGCACCCACACTTCTTATATATCATTTTGTTCAGGAGAAACTGCTTTCATTTCACATCAAATTATTACATATAAAACACATAATTTAATGTGAATAAAATATAAAAAAGATTTAGAAATTAACTGCAGGGACATGCTATAGATATCACAACCACTATGTTAAGCTGTAGTGGATCCGATTACTATAGTGTCCCTTTAAATGCCAAAGAATACTTGCACAGAGGAACATTTGAGTTTAAAATTTAAAACTATATCACAATGTTTTGGTGATGGGATTAACAAGTGGGAGAAAATTATTTTACCATATTTAAATAAGGAGGTATTGAACAAAATAGAAAAGCGCCCTATTATATCTTGCATTTAATATAGTTTTAGCACTTCCATGGATTTTGCAAAAGCTTACGTATGCACTACATTTTTTTTTTGTTAAAATGACCCTTTGACGTACTATTGTTTTCAGATCTATGTGCTTTCAGAAAAACATGTTTTTTTATTTTTTAAAGATAACAAAGAAAGTTACATTCAGTGAAGTTTGCTAAAACCCCTGCAATTTACACTGCATGGTCAGTTCAAGTCTTAATTCGTAAGAAAAATGTTCTCACAAGATGAAGTGGTATACTTTAGCATGAGAAGTGTTCCTTGTGGTGAGTGATATAATGCTAGGGCTTTTTAAGGAAATAATTATACCGCAAATTCAGACTGGAATCATTTGTCCCTGATTCTTTAAGGAGATAATGATGGATCAGTGAAAGAGAAATGATACATTTAAAATAGAGCTGGTTTCCAGTTGAAATAAAAAGTTACCATGTAGTTTCTTTTAAGCATTTATAAAAATAGCTGGTTTTCTCATTCCCTTTTTTCCCCCATGCTTAAAGAGGCAGAATAAGCACCTAAATCACTTCATCTTAGTAAAGTGATTTTGGGGCATAGATGCTTTCCCTGGAGCCTCGAACATAAAAACAATGCTGTTTCTAAGAACTTGGACTAATATAGATTCAATAATTGATGTCTTATCAGAATGCAATGTATGCTTACACTGGTAGTGCATGTAATGCTTATCTATGCTGTATGGTTGTGCATGCAATGCTTCTTCATAGAGAAGCTCTGGATAGGCAGATGAGGGTGATACTTGCACCTGTTCCATATGTCAGTTGTGCTTCTATATGAAAAGCATTTGTTGATCTCACAGTCGGAGGATCGGGCTCCAATAAGGAGTTTGTCTTGGGACTGTAATGCGGGTAAGTTTGCTGTCAATTTAACCCCTTAAGGACATATGACATGTCATGATTCCCTTTTATTCCAGAAGTTTGGTCCTTAAGGGGTTAAAATAATTTTAGCGGTCTTTTAAAAATCACCTACTTTTTATTTCCATGTATGATAGGGCTCTCTTGTCTTTGGTTTTCCGTGTCCTCAATAGGTGGATGTGTCCATTGAGCATCTGGTAATTCTTTCACTTGCAATGGAACTGCTGTACTAGGAACACAGCAGCTTCCTATGTGTTTTTATTTTTTGAATATTCCAGCTTATTTATTCCCCCTGACCCTTTCACCTTCCTACTCTTGCCTTTTCCTTGTTCCTCTTAGTATTATTATTGGCATTTATATAGCGCCAGCAAATTCCGTAACTCTTTACAATATTATAGGAGGGGGAAATTTAACAATAAATGAGACAATTACAAAAAATTTCATGAACAATAGGATGAAGAGGACCCTGCTCAAATGAGCTTACAGTCTAGGGGAGGTGGGGTATAAAACACAATAGGACAGGAGATAGCTACCAAACAAGATGGGAGTGAGGCAGAGCTGGAGGAGAGCGTAGAGTGCTTCCCTTAGGAGAGAGCAAGGGACAGGTAGGAGATCTGGAGGAGAGCGTAGAGTGCTGCCCTTAGGAGAGAGCAAGGGACAGGGATGTGAGGTAGAGGTTACTCTGGGAGGCCATAAGCTTTCCTGAATAAATGGATTTTAAGGCACTTTTTAAACGATTGACGACTAGGGGAGAGTCTGATGGTGGTAGAGAGACTAAAAAAGGAAGGAAGCCACCCGCGAGAAGTCCTGCAAGTGTGAGTTGGCCATACGGGTTCGAGCAGAGAGACCGAGAAGGGGCATACTTGTGGATCAGTGAAGAGATATAAGAGAGGCTAAAATTATTCAGTGCTTTATAGGTATGACAGTACTTTGAATTGACTCCTATAGGATACAGGAAGCCAATGTAGAGACTGACAGAGGGATGAAGTGTGAGAGGAGCGACTAAACAGGAAAATCAGTCTGGAGCAGCATTCATTACAGCCTGTAGCAGGGCAATGCGGCTTCTGGAAAGACCAATTAGGAGAGGGTTAGAATAATTCATGTGAGAGATTACTAGAGCATGGACAAGCTCCTTAGTAGTGTCTTATTATGTGGAAGGAAGACAAGGAGCTCAGTTTTAGAGAGATTTGGTTTCAGAAAGCGGGAGGACGTTGTAGGATAGCAGAGGAGGAGAAACATATTTGGGTGTCATCAGCGGACAAGTGGTAGTGGAATTCAAACAAATTAATGAGTTTTCCAAGAGAGAGAACAATAGGGGACCAAGAACCAAACCTTGAGGGACTCCAACTGAGACAGGATGAGGGGAGGAGGTGTCATTGGAGAAGGAGACACTGAATGAACGTTAGGAGAGATTGATAGGACGAGAACCATGAGATGGCTGTGTCACAGAGACCAAGAGATTGAAGAGTTTGGAGAAGGAGGCCATGACCAACAGTGTCAAAGGCCACCAAGAGGTTTAGAAAAATTAGTATGGAGTAGTGGCCTTTGGATTTAGCTGCAATTAGATCATTTGTAACTTTAATCAGAGCGTTCTCTGTGGAGTGCAGAGGGCAGAATCCAGACTGAAAAGGGTCGAGGAGAGAGCTCGAATTGGGGAAGCAAGTTAGGCGGGTAAAGACAAGTCTTTACAGAAGCTTTGAGGAAAAAGGGAGCTGGGATATGGGACGATAGTTGGCATGGGAAGCTGGGTCAAGACATAGAAACATAGAATGTGACGGCAGATAAGAACCATTCGGCCCATCTAGTCTGCCCAATTTTCGAAATACTTTCATTAGACCCTGGCCTTATCTTATGGTTAGGATAGCCTTATGCCTATGCCACGCATGCTTAAACTCCTTTACTGTGATTAACGTCTACCACTCCAGCTGGAAGGCTATTCCATGCATCTACTTCCCTCTCAGTAAAGTAGTACTTCCTGATATAATTTTTAAACCTTTGCCCCTCTAATTTAAGACTATGTTTTCTTGTTGTGGTAGTTTTTCTTCCTTTAAATATCGTCTCCTCCTTTACTTTGTTGATTCCCTTTATGTATTTAAATGTTTCTATCATATCCCCCGTCTTTCCTCCAAGCTATACATGTTAAGTTCCTTTAACCTTTCCTTGTAAGTTTTATCCTGCAATCCATGAACAAGTTTAGTAGCCCTTCTCTGAACTCTCTCTAAAGTATCAATATCCTTCTGGAGATACGGTCTCCAGTACTGCGTACAATACTCCAAGTGAGGTCTCACCAGTGTTCTGTACAATGGCATAATTACTTCCCTCTTTCTACAGCTAATACCTCTCCCTATGCAACCAATCATTATGCTAGCACCTTTAAGTCATCAGAAATAATCACCCCTAAATCCCTTTCCTCAGATGTTGAGGTTAGGACTCTATCAAATATTCTGTACTCTGCCTTTGGGTTTTTACGTCCAAGATGCATTATCTTGCACTTATTCAGATTAAATGTCAGTTGTCACAATGCTGACCATTTTTCTAGTTTACCTAAATCATTTGCCAGTTGGCTTATCCCTCCTGGAACATCAACCCTGTTACATATCTTAGTATCATCAGCAAAAAGACATACCTTACCATCAAGACCTTGCAATATCACTAATAAAAATATTAAAAAGAATGGGTCCAAGTACAGATCCCTGGGGTACCACACTGGTGACAAGCCCATGTTTCGAATATACTCCATTGACTACAACCCTCTGTTGCCTGTCACTCAGCCACTGCCTTACCCATTCATCAATATTGGAATCCAAACTTAAAGATTGCAGTTTATTGATAAGCCTTCTATGTGCAACAGTGTCAAAAGCCTTACTGAAATCTAGGTAAGCAATGTCTACTGCACCACCCTGATCTATTATTTTAGTTACTCAATCAAAAAAATCAATAAGATTAGTTTGGCATGATCTCCCTAAAGTAAACCCATGTTGTCTCTGATCTTGAAATCTATGTGTTCTTAGATGTTCAACAATCCTATCCTTTAACATGGTTTCCATTACTTTCCCCACTACTGAATTAAGGCTTACTGGTCTATAGTTGCCCGACTCTTCCCTACTACCTTTCTTGTAAATGGGCACAACATTTGCTAACTTACAATCTCCTGGGGCTACTCCTGTTAGCAATGATTGGTTAAATAAATCTATTAATGGTTTT